GAAGCTCGCACGACCTGCTGCCCAGGACGGGCTGGGAGCGGTTATCAGCCTTCCAGCCCGGCTGCAGCGGCGGGTCGCTTCCGGCCCCCCATCCGCCCTCACTCAGGACACCACTCTCCCCTGCGCAGGGGCCTGGGCTGAGATGCCTGGCGGCGACCTGACATTGAAACAACTTCCTGATGTTAGGCAGAGGACGCCGCTGCATGATGGCACACGCTAATAATTTCTGTTTTGATTTCTCTTTGGCATTGGTTGTTACGTGACCTCCAGATAAGTGCAGCACAAAGGGAGTGAATAGAGGACGCCTGACACACACTCTCACAGGCTCGCTAGGAAGACAGCTTTGGGCTCCCTCGGTGGGTAGCCAAGTTGGTCCTTTAAAAAAACTAAGGTTTAATTTTTAAAATTTGAATTTAATTTAATCTTATAGCAATTCCTGTGCACAGATTGGAATGGTTTACTAAGAATATATTTAAGATCGTTGTATTTTAACTAAGCTTGTCATCAATCAAATCTATTATTATACAAAGGTTACAGGCAATTTAAATGTAATAGGACTTAAAGGTTTTTAAATAATCTATGTCTGCCTTCGCACAGAAGAACAGAAAGATAGGAATTCGAAATAGATAATGTAATAGCTCTTAGTCAATTTATCATATAGGAGAAGCCTCTGGCTGAAAAGCCAGCTGTGAAAAATGCAGGAAAGCAGCCAAAGTCTACCTACCCTCTGGGCGATCAGGGGCCTGATCTGTGCCTCCCCCCATCTGCTTAGTCGTCCTGGGGCCCACCGCACCCTCCGCACTGGCAGCTTATTCTCTGGAGTATAACATGGAAGAAACAAGAGGCTCAGAGAAGAGGGTCAAACTGGGTGTCAACCTTCTGGTGGAAAGCTCTCTGGGGAATTTGCGGGCGGGCAGATAAACTTCCTTTGGGTCTGCCTTCTCTGGGAAAGGAAAATTTTTAGAGGGTATTTTCTCTTAGCGCCCTTTTTGAGGTTTGTTCTGTGGTTCTTTCTGTACATCTCATGAAGGTGAAACTATTTCTGACATTGGTTGCCAGGAATGACATATCAAGTTGCGCTATCTTGTTAACAACACAAACTCAAACGTGGCTCTAACGCTGGTTCGCTTTTCAAAACCCTGAATCCGCCGTTTTGTCACACCCATTCTTTGTTACATCACATAGAAGACGGGTGGCCGAAATGCGCGTGAAGGTTAACTTTTTAAAGGAAAACCGGCTCTATGCATAGGTTATTATTTTCTTTCATTCCATTTCCTTGTATCTCCTTTCCTGTGAATTGCAACCGTAACCCATCATCACCTCATTTTTCCCATGTGCTTTGTGAACTGTAAAGTGTAATGCAAATGGAACTTTTTTGCAATTTACAAAAAACCGGTTTAAAAACAAGTCTCATCCACCGGAGTTCCCAGAAGGCAGTGTATTTGCTGTCACACTGTGTGCCTTCTGCTTTTGCTTCTACTGCTGCCCAAAGAGTGTTAAAACACTCTTTAAAATGGACATTTTGGACTTTTCTTAATAACACCTAAATATTGTGAATCTCAGAATCACAATAAATGAGGATTAGGAACCATAAAGTGAGACGTGCTACACTTGACTCACGGGCCTGTCGCCCTGAGTTTGTGTGACTTTAGCCAGGTAACGAAAACTCCAAGTCTGTAAAAATTTGCAGGTTTGTGAAAGCTAAATGAAATAATGTGTGTGTGTGTGTGTGTGTGTGTGTGTGTGTGTTTATAAAATACCTAAATCAGCACCTGTCTTAGAGTAGGTACAAATAAACCAGCTACCTTTCTGCCTTCATTCTTTCCTTGGTCTTTAGTCTATTGCAAGAAGCTTCTACTGCCTTTGTTACAAGAAATAAACCAATATTTATTAGTGTTTGTGTGTAGCCTAGATCAATGGATTGATTGATGGCATTCATTAATGCATTCTTGGAACTGTTCCCCTGCCGCTCTCCCACCAAACAACATGCCAAGCCTTAGGAAACCAAGTGAGAAGTCTCTGAGTTTTAGGAGTGCATGGTCCAGAAAGATTGCAAATGCTGTTTCACTGTAGAACTGGAGTGATGAAAGCTTAAACCAGGGGGCGGGTATGTGCGGAAGAAAGGCACTGAAGACGTATAGAAGCCTGATGGCTTGGTGGTGACCACCCTCCGGCTGACAGTTTGCTATGGAAGCTTTGAGGCAAATCTTGAGAACTCTGTTTATGATAATATGGCTAAAGCCTTAAGTAGGGGGAAAACTGGTGGTCTTGTGTCTTCACAAACAGACAAAGACAATCATCAGAAACCTTATCTTCAGTAGGGGAAAATAGCAACTCAAAACATAGTTTACTTGATCCATCATCGAAATACGTTGTTTCTGTCCGTTTTCCATCATTTTGGGTGTTACTTAAATTTATGTAACATGAGATACACAGTTATATTGCTGCACCACATGCCTCCTTGTTTCAGAGGGTGTGTACGTCGTGAACAAATGAACCCAGCAAACCGTGGTTAGAACGTGGCGGCGTATGGATTCAGGACGACAGGAGACGCCTTACGTTCCAGAATGGGACAGTCCCGCAGCTGCCCCGGCTTGATATACCCCTGGGGAGTTGTGTGTGGTGGAAGGGGCCCACCTGGGAGGTAATAAGCTTGTTTGTCTGCTCTTTTTGGAACAGACACTTGGTAAAGTTTGTCTAGAGTAGGTTAAGGCAGTCATAGTGGGTCTCTGTTTTGCTGGGTAACTTCTCACAGTAACGCCCCAGTTTTCACCTGGAGAACCACCCATGTGACTAGACGGTGGCACCATCACCCTGCCTCCCGACTCTCAGGGTTGGTATGTGACCCAGTAACAGCCTTTCCTGACACTGCTGCTGAGCGGGCAAGCCTGGGAGACGTGCGCAACCTCCATGGGACGGCTGGGAGATGGGTCTTTAAATGACAGGCCCACAATGGCCCAGCCTGCACCTGATGGAAGAAATGAGCAAGGTGAAGTGTTTGGGAGGGCCCACATCACGGAGAGCCTTGAATGCCAGATGAAAGCATCTGAAACTGTTTTCCAGCAACAGGAAGTCAGGAAGCTAGGTTTTGAGAACAGGCATATGAAAATTGGTGTTTTTAGAGGATTAGTCTGGCAGGTGTGTGGAGGAGAGGCTCGGGTGAGGAGAGGATGCAGGCCATGAGACCATTTAGTCTTTACAATACCCCATAATTTATTACAAGGTTGAATTTACATCCTGGTCCAAATGTGAGGGAAATGCATATCTGAAATTCTAAGATGTTCTTTTGTTGCCTTTTTAAGCATTCATGGTCTCACACCATGACTGTAAATCACACTGCCTTGTAGATTTACATCTATGCATAAAAATGATGGGCTCCCAAACTGTTCACAGAGGGACTGAAACACTTCAGTAAGTAAAATCTCACCATTCTTGTTGATCTGAATGCTGTTCAGCATTCTGTGCACCTATTTACGCGGGAAGAGTTCTTACAGGTTCTTTCACTGCTCACTCATGCAATGCCTGCCCTTCTACATACAGGAGATTACATCTCTCCTGGCTACCAGCCTACCCTGAATTATCTACCCCTCAGGACGCACGAGCTAGGAAACCACAGTTTCTGTGCTGAGTTTGGTTTCCCACACAGGGAATGACACCACGTAGAGGGGCTCAGTGTGGTGTTTTGCTAAAGCACTTCAACTGCCACAGGTGGGGAGTGGGAGACACGGAGAGGAAGAGAGCTGGGAAGACAAGGTGCGTCTGGCCAGTGAGCACTGTGTTCTAGAAATCCTCCTCCCACCTGAGGTTCCTCCTCCGCACTCCCTCATGCGTCCTGAAGCCTTGATTTCAGGCGCTCTCATACCCAGCATCATTTCCAGCTGCTTCCTGAGTCAGTATCTTTATCTATAACAACTTATTTCTTGCTCCAGATTCAGAGAGAAAAATCCAATCAAAGAGATGATGAACTTTATATATGAAAACCTAAAACCCAGTGAGCGAAAGTCAGCTAGAGGAGATTTTGTTTTGTTTTGCTCTTGGGAGAAAAGAGCGAATGAGTGTTATCAGTGTGATCAGTGACCACTACAACCTGCAGAGTCAGCACACGAGAGCATTGTTTCCTGTGCTTTGTGCTGAGAATGCAGGACGCAGGTGAAGACTGGTGACAGGAATCCACGGCATCCCCGATCATTAAAGCGATTAATTTAACAACTTGTCATTTAGAATTTATTCTGCACTGCGACACCAAGGTGGCCCCAAGTGAGACTGCTGACAACCTGTAGAACTAATCAGCGAATTGAGCTCAGAGGAGAGATAAAGGACCAGGTATTGGACACGAACAGCTTTCTTGTACACCAACAATAACCAACTGGGCAGAAAGGATCCCACTTACAGCAGCAAAGAAAGCTATAAAGTAACTAGGAATAAAGTCAATAAAGCCGAGTAAAAAACACCACCAAAAAGTACAAAGCTTTTCTGAAGAACTTCAAAAGAAATCTGACTACGTAGAGAGCTATACCAGGTTAATAGATTGGAAGTCTCAATACTGTAAAGATAGTTAAGATTCTCTACTTAATCTAAAGATTCAATACAGAGGGAAGGTGTAGCTCGGTGATACAGCGCATCCTTAGCATGTATGAGGTCCTGGGTTCAATCCCCAGTACCTCCATTAAAAAAATAATAATAATAATATTTTTAAAAAATTCAGTACAAACCCAATCACACTAACAAGGTTTTTTTGGAACATGAAGCTGATTGCAAACTCACATGGAAGAGTAAATTCAAGATACAAAAAAAAAAAAAAAGACGAGATCTGCCTTATAAGATAGCAAGATATTATAAATCAACAGTAATTAAAACAGCGAATATCGGTGCAAGAAAAGTAAAAGTGGATTAATGAGACAGAAAAGAACTTCAAGATACAGACTTACGTATCCTTTTGGAATTTGCTATATAATAGAGACAGTTAAATGGTGAAAAGACGGATAGTTCAAAAAATAGTTTGGGGCTATTTTGCTATTTGATAGGAACAATCCAATTTGTATCCCTGCCTCACTCTATACACAAAAATAAGCTTAAATAGATTAAACATCTAACTATAAAACATTTTAAAATTATTTAGAGAGAATATCCTAATAACTTTGGTAACAGAAAAGGCTTTCTTAAGGCAAAAAAATTAAAAGACATAAAAGAAAATCTGATAAACTTGACTAGATGAAATTCAAATTCTGTGCCATAAGACAATAGAAAATTATAAAACAGTATAAACTTAGAGAAATTAATTATATATGTAATGTTCTATTCTATAGTTGGAATTATAACATATAAAATAAAATTTAATTATAACCTATTTGCATTGATAATTATAAACAGATTATATAAAATAAAATTTATGTATTTAAACAAAAGATTAGTGTCTAAAATTTTAAGCATTTATTCAAACAAATTAAAAAATGATAAAAATAATTCAATATGAGGTTAGGCAAAGACTAAACAGATAATTCCTGGAAGAAACAAAAATGGCCAATAAAAATATGAAAAGCTACTCTTGACCTTCTAAAAATAAGAGCAATGCAAATTAAAACAATAATGAACTAGCAGATTGGCAAAAACTTAAAAGGCTGCCAATTTAAAATATTAAACAGGCCTTTATACAGTGTAGGAATGCAAATTGATATGGTCACCCTGGAGAGCAGTTTGACCTCTGCATCCTCCCTAAAGGAACGCTCACATGTGATACAGGGAGACATGCATGCGATTGCTGGTCGCAGCATTGTTTGTAACAGCAAAGGTCAGAAACAACCTAACGCCCATCAACAGGAGACTGGATAAACATGATATAATACAATCATGTGATGGAATATTTTACAGACGTTACCAAAAATAAGCTAAAAAAATTTTAATGAATAAAACAAGTTGCAGAAGATGAGGGGTAGACACAAACCAGTCTCTCTGTTTTCTGTAACAACATGTAACGTTTTAAAAATGGATACATGCCAACTTTGCCTTGTAGCCAAGACAGAGTAAGAGGAAGCAGATTTACCCTCCTGTCTGAAGCAATAACAACAACAAAAAACCAGACAAAATATATAAAACAACAACTTTTAAACAACGGCGCATCAGGCCAAGAAGGACTCTGATCTCCCAAAGCTGGGATATAAACAAGGTAATTCCTACCACTGCTCCAGCTTTCCTGCCTTGAGAGAATTTCCAGGTGGCAGTGCAGAGAAAGGATACCCCAGCAGAGCCCAATGGTCTCCCCAGTTTGAAGAGTTGTAGCTAGAAGTCTGAGGAGACCACGGCAGCTAGAAATTACAGGACAGAGTCTTGTAGAGACGTCACAGAAAGGCCCCTGGAGATCATGGAACACCCTTGACTGCTTGGCATAGCACCTCCTGATAGGTGCATTCACGCTGCAGATGAGCCAAGCCCGGGGAAAGGATGATCAGAGCGAATACGTGAGAGGATTAAAGGGGACAGTAACTGCTCCTCAGTTCAGGGCCCGGAACAGTGCTTGTTCCCACCACAAAGACTGGGGGGAAACCGATCTTTCGTGGGCATTTGGTAGAGTGTACAGAAGAGTTTTGCCTTAGTAGTGGGGAGTATTTATCCCTCATCTAAGCAAGCACTGTCCCATCTTAAAGTTCCACCTTAAACCTTAAAAATCTTGAAAGCAAGACCCCAAAGGATAAAACTCTTCAAATAATGCAGCTGCATCCCAAGAAGCTCAAGAAATACACACGTGAACTAGAGAAATACAGAAATATCCAGTACCCAACAAGGTACATGCACAATGTCTGGAATACAAAGATGATCAGGCTTATAAGAAGCAGGAAAACACAGGTTTATAATGAGGAGAAAAATTAGTCAACTGAAACTGACCCATAATTGAAACAGAGGTTAGAATTAACAGAGAAGGACGTTGAAACCTGTATCATAACTGTATTCCACAGGTGCAACAAGCTAAGTAGAGACACAGGAAATATTTTTTAAAACACAAAATAGAACTTTCAGAGATTAAAACTATAATAGCTAAGATGAAGAATACACTGGCTGGGATGAATAGCTGATAAGACACTGCAGAAGAAAAGTGCTGACATGAAGACGCAGCAACTGAAAGCATTGAAAATGAAACTCAGGGATAAAAAGTAATTTTTTTAAAAAATGAAAAGAACTGTGGGACAACTTCAAGTCACCTCATAAACATGTAACTGAAATCCCTAAAATGCAAAGAGGAAGGGGGACCAAAAATACTTATTTTTATTTTATTCTTTAAAAAAATTTTTTTTGAAGAGGGATTTATTAGTTAGTTTTTTTGGTGGGGGAGGGAGGTAATTAGGTTTTATTTATTTCTTTATTTTTAGAGGAGGTACTGGGGATTGAACACAGGACCTCGCCCATGCTAAGCATGCGCTCTACTGCCTGAGCTATACCCTCCCCCTAAAAAAAAATTTAAAGAAATAATGGTTGAACGTTTTCCAAATTTAATGAAAACCTTAAACCAACAGATCCAAAAATCTCAGGGAGACCCAAGCACCAGAAATATGAACACAACTTCACCAAGGAAGAGTGTAGTCAATTTACTCAAAGCCATGGACAAAGGCAAAATCTTAAGAGTAGCCACAACAAAAAAGACAAATTACACAGGGACAAAAACAAAGATGAGAACAGATTTCTCATCAGAACCCTTGTTAGCCAAGAGACAGTGGAGCATCTTTAAAGAACTGAAAGAAAAAACGGTCAACTAGAATTGTGTACCCAGAAGAAACGGCTTTTAAAAATGAAGACAAAATAGATATTTTCATACATACAGAAGTTGGGGGAGTTCATCTCTGGCAGACCTGCACTACAGGAATTGTTAAAGGAAGTCCCCCAGGCAGACAGAAACGACACTAGATGGAAATTTGGACCTAGGCAAAGGAACGAAGAACACCAGAATTGGTTAAATAGAAAATGACTTTCTTCTTCTATTAAGAGTACTTAAAAGCACATAGATTTTTAAAGCAAAATAGTAACAACGTATGTGCGGTTCATACAATATGTAGAGGTAAAATTAATGTCAACAATGACTCAAAAGCCTGGAGGGGAGAAATGGAAGTGTTCCCTTCTAAGGCTCTATGGAGGAATTACTATAATATCGTTTAAAGATACACTGTGATACATTAAAAGTGTATACAATAAATTCTAAAGCAACCAACAAAATAACACAACTAAGAGTTACAGAAAATAAGGCAATAAAGGAGACAAAATGAAGTCAGAAGTAATACAGCTTGGTAGTTTCCTAAAAAATTAAATGTACATCTACTATATGATCCAGTTATTCCACCTTTAGTTATTGACCCAATAGCAATTCAAGCATCTTTAAAAGATCTGTAGATAAATGTAAAATCTAAAACTGTAAAACCTTTAGAAGAAAACAGAAGAAATTTTTGCAACTTTGGGTTAAGCAAAGATTTCTTAAGTACAACACCAAAAATACAATATCAATTAAAAAACTGAAATATTAGAATTCATAAAATTTCAAAGCTTTTGCTTTTCTAGGGAAACTTAGAATAATAAAGAGACCAACCACTTCAAAGAGAAAATATTTGCAAGCATGTGTTTGACAAAGGACTTTTATCCAAAATACAAAAAGAACCCTCAACACAAGGAAACAAACAATCCAACAAAAAATGGATAAAACATTCAAAGAAACACTTCCCCAAAGAAGACAGCAAATAAGCACATGAACAGATGGTCACATCCCTAGCCTTTTGAGAAATTCTAATTAAAATCATAATGAGAGACTGCTTAACACCTGTTAGAGTGGCTAAAATTCAAAAGACTGACCGTATCACGTGTTGGCAAGGATGTGGCGGGACTGGAACTCTCCCCCTGGTGGTTGCCATGTTAAGGAGTACTATCTCTTTGGAGAACCATTTGGCATTTTCTTAAAACTCTGTGTATACACCTACCACACGATCTTGCTATTCTCTGTATCTACCCAGGTTTTTAAGAAGTATGTGTCCAGACAAAGACTTAAACACAAGTGTTTACTGCAGCTTTGTTGGTAATAGCTCCAAATCGGAAACAGCCCAAATGTTCAACAGGTGAGTGGGTAAAAATATCAAGGTATAGCTTTACAATGAAATGCTACTCAGCAATAAAAGGAATGGCCTATTGATACACATAACAACATGGATGGAAGTCAAAATAGTTACGCTGAGTGAGAGAGGCCAGGGGAAAAAAGAGTACATACCGTGTGACTCCATTTATATACACCTGTTGAAATTCAAACTATATGTAGTGACAGTAAGCTGATTAATGGGTGTGTGGGCTCAGGAATGGGAGGGGAAAATGATTACAAAAGGGAAATAAATGAGTGAAGTCTGGGGGTGACAGATACATTCACCACATGGAGCGTGTAGTGACGATTTCACAGGTGTATGCATATGTCAGAACTTAT